AAACACGTTCCTGTTTGTAGGAAGGGCTTTCATCTACTTATTATTTCATAAAATTAGGTACATTTTCCAATTTATTTAATAACAGCCGCTAAATTTAGCTATACAACTCTGGATTTTAGTGGGAAATTAATCGAAATAGGCACAATTCTTCTGATTCTCCGCAATACTTATATCGTATCCGTATAATAAACTTTTCTTCATATAATTACAATAGTTACTTCCCTTTTTGAAAATTAATCCATTGTAATGATGTCGTCTTCAATTTGAGTATAAATTTTATCATTTGCTTTAAAAAGAACAACTGAAAAAAGTTTAAAGTTATCCATATCACATTTGACAGTTTATTTCATTTTAAACGTTTGTTAAAAAGCTGCGTTTTTTAAATTATTTTTATAGACATCTGGTTCATAGATAGAATTCTTCAACAGTGTTCAATGGCAGTGATTTTTAAGATAAATAGCTTTTTACTAATATAGGCATGAATATGGTCTATACTCAGTATACTGTATCGTAAAGTTATATTGCATATTCACGCATGCTCAATATCATTTACAGAATAGATAAAAACGCTTTCCACGCCGCATATTCGTCTTATTATGTGCTATATATTTTATCTAAAGCATCTGTTCCATCAAACATGTTCCATATTAATTAAATCAAAACAAAAAAGTTGTCAACTGTCATGATTTGAAAAAATATTTATCGCACAATAGTAAAAAATGAAACGTACGTGACTGTCTCTATACTGGGACATACGATATTTTATGTCCCAGCTCTATATGAAAAATAAACTTTAAATCTTTTCATGTTTCAATTGGTCTTTTATAAAACAATTGTTTGGTGTTTTTTGTATCTCACAATGCCTTGGCGTGAATTTAACAGTGGAACATACTGAAAAATATGATAAAAATGTAAACAAAATTGTTGTTTCTTCCTTTCCACTGATACATGCCTTTTGGAGTGTGCGTTTTTAAACAGTGAAGAAAATATTTTTTAAATAATAAGATCTTTCTAAGTTTGAAGTTTTTTGGCAGATAATTGGCCATATTTGCCAAAATAATGTATTATAAGAGTGGTATATAAAGATGCGGTAATTGATGGATGATTTTCTAAGAAAATTAAAACGTAATTTTTGCCGTGAAACGTACGTTACTGATGCTACAGGAACTGATGAAAATGTAAAGGGGTAGACTTGTGTCAAGCAGTTAAAGCTTCCCTCAATAAGAAGTTATGTGTTGAGAAATTGTTATGATTGCTCAAGACTGTGTCCAGATCTGCATTGAAAAGTGGTCAGAAATGTACGTTACCGAAACGAACGTTACCGCAATTTAAAAAATATTCACTACACTAAAAATATGATACCTAAGGTTAGAAAATTTATATGGAGAGAAGAGTTTTGTAACATCAAAGCGTAAATAAATATTGCATTGTGTCACTGTGGATATAATTTAAGGTAAATTCATGTTTGATATACGATATCACAATATATATTAGAAAACATGTTATGTATATAAACATATATCTACTGAAAACATTCTGCTGGATTTTGAGATGTGATAGCATGTTTTTTCGCAATGTAAACAAAAGGTAGTAGTGGAAAGTATATTTCTGCTTAAAAGTACCATGAAATGTATGTTACTGTTGGTAACGTACATTTCAAAACTAGTATTAGTAATTTCAATGAAGAGTATCTCAAGAATTCTTAAAAGTTACTTCATGAATATGTTTTTCATGTAATAACAAGTAAGAATAGGATGATTAGAAACGAAAACAAATCAAATATAACTGTATTTGCATCAGTTGCATATGAATTTTATTCAGGCATTTTTTTCTATCTACAAAAGTTGGGACTAGTACAATATGTGGTTGTTTAAGTTGAACAGTTGTGATGATATTGAACATTTTTAATCTTTTCTCTAGCATCTGCACACTCAAATGTGCACTGTGTATGAACTATAAAGGTCTACAAAACAATGATTTCTCACTTACATTAACATCAACAACAAGTAACGTACATTTCAATTGTAGTAACGGACATTTCAGAGACCGAAATTAAGGGCTGAGATTCAAAAAGGCTACAGGTAGAGAACAAGAGCTGAAAGATACCGAAAATTAATTTTGGAAAGAGCGTTATTGTAGAATTACGTATTACAGAATCTGAAATATTTGACTAACAAAGCGAGAAATGAAAGAAACAATGTTTTATAAAATAAAAGCAAACATTGTTTCATATAAGCAATGTTTCGTATAAAGTAAATGATTTTTTTCCAGAATTTACCTTATTGTGTACAAAACACTGGAATATATTGTAAAGCAACAAAATAATCACACTTCTAAATTATTTTTTTTACATGCATTTCACAAATTTTATGTGATTTTGGTAATCATAATGTCTTAAAACATGTGAATTTCTAATGAAAGATATTAACAGGGCTTTCGACGAATCATCTTCAAATGTATGTTACTTGCAAAGTTGCACATAAAATTGAAGTTTGCGATATTAAAACATTTTTTTATTTTTTTTTACATAAAAATTCAACAAATTTTATCAATTACACCATAATGGGGCTCAAAACATTTCTGGACATTGCTGTAAAATTATCCTCATAACAATGAATAACGTAGCATATATTCGTTAGGATGATCACCTGTGTTTTTAAATTATTTTATAAAGTAAAAATGTTTGTTGTTTTAAATTTAAAATATAAAAAGGAAACATTTTGTTTATAATGTTAAATATTAATTGGTGTCTTTTTATGTACACCAGAAAACTGAAATGCCAGAAAACTGAAATGTACGTTACCAATGAGCGTTTACAAGAGTATTTAATAAAGTCTTTAAGAAAGTCTTCAAAAATGCTAAAGATTGATATTTTAAAGCATTTTATCACACATGTATGTTGTCATAAATGGTTAAATATGCACATATAATGTTGTTTACATGTACTTTTTACCTTATATGAACAGAATCATCAATTAAAATACAACTTATTTCTGTATGCATATACAATATCTTATTCTGACCAAGCGTATGATTTTTGTAGTTAATTGTTCAAATGTTTAGAAAAGGAATAAATACCAAACAGAAATATTTAAGTTTTCCCATTCCTGTCAGATTTTCTTAATGAATTCACTGTTGAAATTTTTTTGTATTAAACTGAAATGTACGTTACAGAATTATTACATTACTTTTAAGGCATTTGGGGTGAAAAAACAACTGCTACATGCATGAATTAGTTTACAACGAGGAGTTTATATGTATCATAAATAACCAATAGCATTCTAATGTCGAACTGCTTTTCATTGATAAATCTGTAAAGAATTTCGAAGTATGCATTGAAATAGTAAAATATGTATCATTCATCTGTAAAATTTGTTATTGTTTTAACATTCCAAAAACCTGAATATATTGGTATAATTTAACAAAAAATGTGTTTACTTCCATCCTACATCTTTTGAGAATGGAATTGTGAAAACAAAATTACTGACTAGTTCAACAGTTACATGATTATGAGCTGCTAATTTAAGGGATACTCAAAGTAACGTACATTTCTGTGCCTGTTTTTATAAGAATGACCTGCTCAATTTGATATGGAACTGAGAGAACATGGTTCGTATCTTGTTTGCAAGAATTCAAATTTATGTCCGGGAGATATTCTTTTTCCATATTCAAACATTATTTTTATGATCTCTGAACATTATTTTTTTCCCTTTCCGTGATTCAGTATTTGTAAATGGTATTGAGAATGCGTGATTAATCCAATATTTTTGGTGTTTAAGATTTAATACTGACCAGGCAGCATGAGACATGATGCACTCTAAATTTTCTCTCATTAACTGATTAATACAAACAAACCAGGTTTATTGTTTTCATTCATTAGAGAAATTTCTCATTTCTCAAATTTATTTAATATACATTGCCCTATTTAAATATTCAAGTAGCCCCAAAGAGAAGCCAACAGTTACTGGTGAGGGAAATGTAGAGCCTACAATAGAAGTATTAGTAGATGATGCCGCTCTTAAGGTGACTGAAGGCAATGCTGCAAGATTCCAGTGGAAAATTGAAGGTGAGGTTCTGTCTGTCAGTTTATTTGTTGATGAATTGTTTTTTCCAGATTGAAAGATGGGCAAGTTCATTTTGATATTCATGATACAACCAAGATATGGTGATAATGCAGTGTTTTTTTTCCCAATTTTCAAAACAGCCTGTGGCTTTCTGAAGGTGAAAATATAGCGCGATAAATAAAAAAAGTGGAAAACCTGAAATCAAATTCCAACAACTGGAAATGGAATTTACCCATGAATTTTTAAAAAAAATTAAAATCAATTCAATTTAACATGCATGGTACGTAGCAGTGGCTATTTAAAGGGACAGATTTCTGTCTTCTAGATTATATACATGTAAGATGCTGTTAAGTCATGGTTCTGGTAAGGAAGAGCATGAGGCATTTTAGGGGAAAATATACCTATTTTGGGCTAGTATTCGACTGTAAAATACAGTGAAAAAGTCACTGTAATGTTATGATACATTTTCAGCAGTGATACCCAGCTCTTATGTTTCATCACTGCATCATTGTTGTCATTGTGCAAAAACTTGAATGTATCCCATTATTCCAACCTTTTTAAAGGTATCAACATGAAACTTGGAATACTTGCTTATCATGACAAGGTGCAGTTGTTAGACAAGGGGCATAATTCCCAAAGCAATACTTTAAGAGGTATTCCCCTTTTCGCTTAAGATTTTTAAGAGTTGAGCATTATGCTGTACATGTACTCTTGTCCTACTAGAGTAATGGTTGGTCATTGATATTCTTGACTATCATTATAGTATGAGATCATTAAATCTTGTTATAAAATTGGTCTTAAAAATATTTTTTTATCAACTGAAAAACATTTAAATTATTACTTATTGAAAAAGATTGTTACAATTCATTTTAATAGAAGTTGCTTATATGCAGGAGTTGAATTGTCCAAAGCTGAGGTAAATAAGAATGGTCGGAAGTTGAAGACAAACAGCAATGTTCATATTGAAAAATCAGATGAAGTTATTACATTGCTGATTGACCAAGTATCTGTGGATGATGAGGCAGCTTATACTGTTGGAATAGATGGTTCAGAAAAAGATCATGGTGAAATCAGATTGAAAATGGTCCCTGATGTATCATCTGTCGAAAATGAAAGGTACATTTAACAGGTTATTATAATAATATAATCAACCAAAGAAATGTAGAAGCAATTTAAAAATGTTACAATACTGATAATGATAATGATTATAGTAAAGATGATTAACTATAATAATAATAATAATGACATTGATGATGATGATATCATGGTGACAATAATGATGAAAATGATGATGATAATGACAACCTTGAGGATGATTATGATGAAGATTATGATGATGATGTTGATGATGATGATTACGGTGAGGATAGTGATGATGATCAAGATGAAAATGATGATGATATAGATGATGTTGATAATGATTTTGATGATGTTGATGATTATTTTAAAAATTATTGTTATAATGTTAATGATGATGATACGCTGATGACAACAATGATGGAGATGACAACCCTGGGATGATGATGATGATTATAATTACTATGAGGACAGTGATGATGATATTAATGATAATGATGTTGATGTTGATAATGATTATGATGGCAATGTTGGTGATTTTGATGTTGATGGTGATGATTAAAGTAAATAGTTTTTGAAATTGAGTTGTAAAAGTAGTCAAAAATGATAATAATAATCAGAATACAATTTCACTGGTTTGGGAAGTTATCATGAAAAAGTACAGTGTAACCTCTACAGACCAGCCTGCTTTACATCTTATTTTTTGACAAAGTAAAATTACCCAACATATTGTACCTATCTAGAGCAACACCACTTAGCAACTGTAAAAATTGTTGCCTCCTAACAAGTGTTGATTTGCTAAAGTTGTATTGTATAGCTTCATTTTGAAATTTTACAGAAGTGTTCCATGTGAACCACAGTTTATTGTAGAGCCTGTTGTGGATGTTCAGGATGGAAGAAGATTATCCATAAAATGTGCCGTTTCTGGTAAATATTCATCATTATAATCTGGGGTGTCTATTAGTGGGGCGGGAAATAAGGTCTCTGCTGTCAAAATAGTGCAAATTGTGATACAAGCATGAAACTTTCAGGAAATTATCTTTAGACCATGTAAATTTCAAAAGTGAAGTGGGCCCAAAAATATCTCTGCTCATTCAAGATGGCCGCCATTTTCAAGATGGCCGCCATATAAATTTGATGTACATTCTAGCTCATTCATTCCAATTTTTTGTACAGACCTGAAACTTACACCAAAGCATGCATATAGTTTTCCCTTTTCAAAAATTTAAATCTTCAAGCAATTTCGCTTGCATATTTCTTCACAATCTCCACACAGTGATCTCCCCTTAATTCTTCGGCGTAGATCTCTGCCACCAAGGTCCCAATATATCAGAATTTCTGATATACTATATTTTTTCAAAAATTGTTTTATTTACTGCTTTTATCTATCAGTTAAGTTTTTTCTCATTGATTAAACAATGTTTCTAGATAAATAAATAAATAATATGAATATTTAGAAATAATTTTAAAAAATATGAGAATATTTTCTACCGAGACAATATTTTGATATTTTATATTTTTTAGCTTTTGAATTTATTTTTCGTTATTTTGTATACTTTTGATAATTTTTTGATAAACTATATCGATCGTAGGCACTAAAAGTTAAAAATAAAACAGAAAGAGAAAAATGACGTTAGATTTTCTATGTAACGGTCGATATCTACATTTGAATTTCGACGTTACGTCATGTGACTTTCATCATCATGTGACGTCTTTGAAGGCAGTGATTACAATGAGTGAGACTAAAAAAAGGATTGGAGCACCACACTAAATACCGTATTCCGGTATATACCGGGCAAGGCGCTTGAATCGTAAAATGCCAAAATCTTGCTGTTTTACGCAACGGAATGAACTTTAGTAGGTCTAATTCATCTTTTCACACTGATTTATGTATGATAATGCATGAAAAATGTAAAAATCAGCGAAAAAAACGATATTTGTCTATTTTGTGATCATGATTTCTGCAAGCGTCTAGAGGTACTGCTCCAATCCTGTATTGAGCTAAATCCGATTACAATTCTGCCAAGGGAGGCAATCACTGTGAGGAGTTTGATTTCTTCAGAATCCAAGATGGCGTCCAATATGGCTGCCGATTTTAATGAAAACTGATATATCCCTTTGGTAGTATAATTTTTTGCACACAGTATGCGTATTTCCATATAAAATTGTTAAATATATTAGAAAAAAAATCAAATTTTAAGTTAACCACATTGTTAGTCATGTTTTTAGTTTTTTTTGTGTTTTTTTTTGAAAAACTGCCATTTTTTTCTCTAACATTGTTTTCTAGGTCTATGTACAAAATTCCAAAAGTTACATAGTTTCTTAAAGTGTATTTGATATTCAATCAACACTATGTTTTATTGTATAATTGTTGCAAAAACAAACAAAAATGTGAAGGTTTTATACTTTTTAATAGTGGGTTGGGTAAATTTATCAGACAATTGTAGTACAAAATAACGTTTTTTAAGAATTCTTATGCAAATATTCACTGTAAAAGTATTTTATTGTATTAAGGCATTTTTGTTTTCCTTCAGGTCTAGAGGGTGTACTAAAATATCAATAAATGCAGATACAATCATATGTATACATTCAGTTATTAAATGTGTTTGCGTGATATAAGATGTTTCGATATTCTTAATACAATTTGATAATTGTACAGAAAGAAGACTGAATATTCATCAACGAACCATATGTTAGATAAAATCATGCCTGGATCTGAGTGAAATGTTGTCTATTTATGAATACAATTATTTCCTGAACAATTTAGTCTTGCTAAAAGCTTGTAACAGAATGATTCAAAGTTATATTTACTTGCACATCATTGGAACCAAGTATAATTGAATTAGTACTGTCCATTTCTAATAACTTATGTAGACATGATATTATCAAAAGAAACAAAAATTTAGACGACTGATACATCATATTATCTAATGACTATGTGTGCTAAAATAGGTATCAATAAAACCGCTTGACCCACATTATGATTTAGAATATAAACTAAATGTATTCCTTCTTTATTTTTCCCATTAAACAAGAGAGAATTGTTGACCCTATATCACTCACCTTAGATCCACTGCTGGAAAAGGGCTATAATTCTTTTATACTGAAGAATGCTAAAATCATGTAAGGAGTGTCTTTTTTTCACCAGTCATGATTTATAAACTATTTGAAAAGAAACACGCCCAATAACTAGGCTCTCAGAACTTTTTAACACAAGAAGACTCATATAACTATATTCCAATAAGAGTCCATGTAAACTAAGTGATTTTGACCCTATGCCAATAGTTCATAATCTTTATATAGCATCACAATGTGATGATATACGATATTTTTTCTTCTCTGTGCACTGTAGTTTCGGAGAAGAATTTTAATATATAAGTCAATGTAAACTAAGTGACAGGGAAAGCCATTTTGGACTGCAGGAGCATGATTTAAAGGCCCTCACGAGGTACACAGTTTTTAAAGACTTGTGTAGGGAATCGCATTGAAGTTGTTTTGTTGTTGTTGTTATTAAAAAAAATCAACAAACAAACAAACTGTAATGCCTAGAGCTTAGATAGTCAAAATATAACCTTGTCAAGTAAAGAAGACCTCTTTAAAAGTTACATAAAACACTTTTGGATCATTAAGTGTACATGCAAAATAAAAAATCTTCTCAAAAATCAAAATGCACAGAGCACAGGTACTAAGCATGCAGTACCACTTTGTGTCTTTATTAACATATTTAATGAATCATGCTCATAGAGCCACCTGGGTTCACAGACTTGTATAGGAAAACACATTAAAAACATCTAGTGTTAAACTGCAATGACTTGAACTAAGATATTTGGGATGTAGACTGATATAACATGCATAAATTTGTATGATGATACTGCAGTCTAAAACGGTTTGCAATGGTATCACTTAATTTACAAAGACTACTGTAATAAATCTGTTTTCTCTTAACCTACAGTATCCGACGCATATACATTAATCATGTATCATCATAATTATGTTATAATAATGATATATCATGGACAACATGGTCCAAATTTACCAAACACTAGAGGTCACTAAGTTTATATGGACTCGTATATAATAAATATGGTTATTAAAGTCCTCCCGTGTGAATAAAAATTGAAACCAGATATTGAGCATGTTTCTTTAAAAGCAACCGGATTCAATTATGACACAAATCATGCGTGTTATGACATAATTGACACTCCCAAAATGATCTTGTTACCTTTTTTCCAACAATGATCTTAGTTGAGTGATCCAGGGTCATCATTACCCTCTTATTAAAAGAAAAAAATAGATATGATTACTTTAGGAAATACACTTAGTTTGTATCTTAACTTTTCTAAAAGCTGCATGCAGGCAAGGCCATATCATTGATATATCTGTTTCATATCACATACATTTTGTTGGCTTTTAAGCCATGTCTATATTATGAATATAAAGTGTGGAGGTGTCAAAAATATGCGTTTATGGACTACCTTTATACCTTACATACATGTACATGTTTGCTTTTTTAAGCACGTTTAGTTGATTAATTGTCTTCTATATGTCTTTACAATTAACAATTAATATATAATATCAAATATATTGAAACAAGAATTATCATACAACCAAATTTTATAACTGAATGTATACACATGTTTGTATGTGCATTTCTTGCTCACCCACTAAATGGTCCAAAGGGAGACAAACATACTTTCATCCAATTAAAAGTACTTTTTAAGTTGGAACATTTGCATAAGAATTCATAGAAAAGTAAAAAGGAAAAGTAATATAATGAACTTAGCTATGTATATATTCTGTTGTTTTTTCTTTTACAATTATCATATAAAATTACCCCACCCACTTTCACAAAATATAAAACCTACAGATTTAATGCTTTTCTTACATTTTTTTACAATAAACACATGATATTAATGGAATGTCAAATACAGTTTAAAATATAAAGAAACTTTTTTAACTTTGTACATTAATTTAGTAAATCAAATTTGAAAAATATGAAAAAATTGGATTTTTTTAATATCTTTTTTAAAGATATTTTTAGACAAAAACTTTTAAAATGTTTACTCTTATTGAGAACATTAATATGATTATCTCTGACATGTTTAAACAACTTTTTTATAATAATAAACATAATTTGTGCAACAAATTATACTATAAAAATGATATAACAGTTTTGCACAAAATCGACGGCCATATTGGACGCCATCTTGGATTTGGAGGAAGTATGAACGAGAAATTTTGTAACATTTAAATTTTTGAAAGGGAGAAAGTTTATGCATGCTTTTGGTGTTAGTGAAAGGTCTGTACAAAAAATTGGAATGAATGAGCTAGAATGTACGTCAAATTTATATGGCGGCCATTTTGAAAATGGCGGCCATCTTGAATGAGCAGAGATATTTTTGGGCCCACTTCTCTTTTGAAATCTACATGGTCTAAAGATGATTTCCTGAAAGTTTCATGCTTGTATCACAATTTGCACTATTTTCTCAATTTCCCGCCCCACTATATGGCTGAGTGGTTAAGATTGTTTTTCAAACTACTTGTCCCTCGCCACTGTAGGTTCGAATCCAGATTAGGACTTTTGATTCTTTCAAGTAAGGAAGCTGTCTTATGGAATGTCAGTTGTTCTACTCAGATGTTGGTTTGTGCCTCAAATAATGCATGAAAGGGCACCTGAGATCTTCCTTCAACAGCAAACCTGTAAAGTGGCCATATGACCTATACTGTGTTGGTGGGAACAAAAACCCTCGTAAAACTGTACTGTGGCTCTATCCCGCCGCTTACACATCTTTTCCCCTAAATAGTGAGCAGTTTTGAACCGTGACATAGCCTTCCATAGTTTTTTTTTCCAGGCAATTCTCCAGTGAAACAGTTGTCGGTTTGCTTGATTGATTAATATGACTTGCATTACTTCCTTGATAACCTTTAGCTTGCTGGCATCAACTAAATATCCATAAGCAACCAGTGCAGACCAAAATCAGGGGGCACATCTTTGCTGTGATATATATAAATTTGTCCAATCCTCCTAATCTATAGATATTTATTTATAGGATATCCTGCTCCTGAAGTTACTTGGTATCACCACGGGCAACAATTGAATCAAGATGCATTGTGGGAAATTTTCAACCAAGATGGCTACTATCACCTTGGGGTTGACGACCCTTCTATGCTAGATTGTCAAGAGATAGTTTGCCGCATAGAGAATGATCTTGGATATGTGCAGAGAGTGGTTCGTGTAAAAATAGATGGTAAAATATACATATAACTTTTTTTCCCCAACATTTAACAGTGATATTTTCTTGCTTTAATTTTACATAATGCAGTATTAATTCTATAAAGTATCCAAGTGTAAATTGCAGGTGTAATAAGGTAAGTGTCAAAAGAATTTTACATTTAACCATATATTGTTTTCAATTTTAAATTTCAATATGCAAAAATATTATAGTTAACCCCTACAAGGCAAGGAAATGTCTATAAATAGCTTTCAGAATTTATTGGTAACGTCCGATTGATAAAAAGCGTGAGGTAGCCTAAATGATACATGTTTTGTAGTTTGTTCTTTTTTCCCTAACATTTGTTATTATCAGCTATTGGTCAATCACCATTACGGTAGTCAATGTTTTGAAATATATAACTATTTCAGCTGAACTTGTCTGCTGGAAAACGGGCATGTCACTTTAAAGGGCTGTCAGTATATCACAATGTCAATATATCATCATCATTCAACATTTGTGGCGGCGTGGCCAAGTGGTTACATGTCAGACTAGTTATCTAAGGATTTCTGGCAGCTTGGGTTCAAACCCTGTCAGCGGCAAGCCATTGTTTCCTTGAGCAAGAAACTTTACACTCATTGCTCAGTACTGGTTGGTTCCAGGAACGGATATGAGAGTGTTTCAATAAACTTGTAGCTTCCAACACAATCTAACTAAAATAAATTTGTATAAACTAAAACTAACATTTTATTTGATATTGACTCATAAATTAGAATATTGATAAAATTTAAAACCCATTTCTTCCTGTTTTTATACCCCCAAAAACGAAGTTTGGGGGGGGTATATAGGAGTCACCCGGTGGTCGGTTGGTCGTTCGGTCGGTCGGTCGGTCCAGAAGTCCGTTGCATTTTCCTTGTCCGGACCATAACTTGAAGACTAATGGTTGGAATTCAATATAACTACATACAATGGTCAAGCACATTAAGAGGAAGTGCAGTGCACAAGAACCATAACTCTATCTTGACTAATTACAGAGCTATTGCCCTTTGTTACTTTTCCTTGTCCGGGGCATAACTTGAAAACTACTGGTTGGAATTCAAAACAACTTCATACAATTGTCAAACACAATAAGGGGAAGTGCAGTGCACAAGAACCATAACTCTATCTAAAGTAATTACAAAGTTATTGCCCTTTGTTACTTTTCCATTGCTTTCTTTTGTCCGGACCATAACTTGAAGACTAATGGTTGGAATTCAATATAACTACATACAATGGTCAAGCACATTTAGAGGAAGTGCAGTGCACAAGAACCATAACTCTATCTTGACTAATTACAGAGTTACTGCCCTTTGTTACTTTTCCTTGTCCGGGGCATAACTTGAACACTACTGGTTGGAATTCAAAACAACTTCATACAATTGTCAAACACCATAAGGGGAAGTGCAGTGCACAAGAACCATAACTCTATCTAAAGTAATTAAAGAGTTATTGCCCTTTGTTACTTTTCCATTGCTTTCTTTTGTCCGGACCATAACTTGAAGACTAATGGTTGGAATTCAATATAACTACATACAATGGTCAAGCACTTTGAGAGGAAGTGCAGTGCACAAGAACCATAACTCTATCTTGACTAATTACAGAGTTATTGCCCTTTGTTACTTTTCCTTGTCCGGGGCATAACTTGAAAACTACTGGTTGGAATTCAAAACAACTTCATACAATTGTCAAACACAGTAAGGGAAAGTGCAGTGCATAAGAACCATAACTCTATCTAAAGTAATTAAAGAGTTATTGCCCTTTGTTACTTTTCCATTGCTTTCTTTTGTCCGGAGTATAACTTGAAGACTAATTGTTGGAATTCATTATAACTTCATACAATGGTCAAGCACATTGAGAGGAAGTGCAGTGCACAAGAATAATAACTCCATCTTGACTAATTACAGAGTTACTGCCCTTTGTTACTTTTCCATTGCTTTTTTTGTCCGGAGCATAACTTGAAGACTAATGGTTGGAATTCAATATAACTTCATACAATGGTCAAGCACATTGAGAGGAAGTGCAGTGCACAAGAACCATAACTCCATCTTGACAAATTACAGAGTTATTGCCCTTTGTTACTTTTCCTTGTCCAGAGCATAACTTGAAAACTACTGTTTGGAATTCAATACAACTTCATACAGTTGTCAAGGACATTAAAAGGAAGTGCATTGCATAAGAGCCATAACTCCATTTTGACAAAATACAGAGTTACTGCCCTTTGATACTTTTCCTTGTCTGGAGCATAACTTAAAACGTACTGGTTGAAATTCAAAACAACTTCATACAATGGTCAAGCACAAAAAGAGGAAGTGCAGTGCACAAGAACTATAACTCCATCTTCAGTATTTATAGAGTTATTGCCCTTTGTTCCTTTTCTTTGTCTTTCTGGACTTATTACAGAGTAATTCAATAAAACTTCATCAATGGCCAAACACATTGAAAGGAAATGCAATATACAAGAACCACAACTATCTTTAATTGCCCACAACCATAACTCTATATTTCAATTCTTTTACAAGATATTCTGTTACTAGTAACATCCTCATTTCCGAAGCAGTCTTGTGGGGGTATTAATCACATTTAGTGATAGTTCTAGTTTATTTTGTTTTTTTAACAAATATCTGTTGTGTTTGGAAATTTTTTAATTTGTTTATAAAATATTATTTTTTAGGGGATGAAGTGTACTGTGAACCTGTGCTGCCACCTGTCAACATGGAAACCTCTGAGGTGAAAAACTCGGCTCCTCGCATAGAGATAGATATCTCTGAAACTGTTGTAAGTAGTTTATTGAAACAAAATTTTTGACAATTTTTCTTTTATTCTGTGTGGACGTTTTAACAATAATGGTAATAATCTTAAAGTGACATTATGCCCATACAAGTGTAAATGGTCAGAGAATAGGTGAAAATAAAAATAACCATTATTGTGTTCAGTTTTATCTTTTACCATGCAAAAATTACCAATTATTCACATGACCCGCAGATGATTTAATAAATATTAATCAGAATATATCAGTATTCAAATTTTAAAAAGAGTGAAGAAGTCTTTTTGTAATTAAGGTAGATTTAAGATTTCATCCTCAACAATTTTTGTTTCATTATAAGTCAATAACCATTATAAAAGTCAATCTTATTATACTTATTCAGGTCTAATTGACAGCAAAAAAACAACAAAAAACCCGCGAGCTTAATGTCACTTTAAGTTCTGTATTTTTAATGTTTTGAAGTGTATTTAATAGGATAATATGGACCTATTTTCTTCAAACTTCAGAACAAAATGAAGTGTGATGAATGTTTGATTTAATTGAAGGGAAATAATTTGTCTACTTGAAACAAAATTCTCATATATTCTCTCCCTTTGTAAGCAATATTTTGTATTTATATCAGAAGGACTGTTTCTAATTGCAGATATTAAGCTATGCAATTCATATTTTTTTAGATGCAGTTAGGCCAAAAAAGTTCTGTTTTAGGTCACCTTTACCTACCCTCTTCAGGGTGGGGCAAATGTTTGAAGTGACCAGAAACAGAACTTATCTATTTTGGCCCTCAAAAATGAGATTACATGAAAAAGTGAACTTGATTTACTTCTCATCACATGTGTAAATACCAAATATTAAACTTTTCTCACTCTCGTCACACTTGAAATCTTTAATGAACTTGTCCATCTTGAATCCCAGATAAAACTTATTTATAATTTTTAGCAAAAAATAATGAACTTGTCCATTTTTTACTCCAGACAAAACAAAACTTACATCAGTTTTAGGGAACTTTCAAAATTAGTACTTGAAACAAAGGGGTTTATGCAATAAGAGCTAGGGACTGGTTCTCGGATTCTGTTGTATCTCATAGCTGTCTCTGGAGTCTGCTGAGGTAAGGACCCTACTGGAAATAAGTGGTTGCACTTTTGTGGGTTATCCTTGACCGCCTGGTCTAAAGAAAATCAATCAAGTTGATATTAGAAAAATAAGAAAAAACTTAAAAAGTTTGTTGTCATGAAAACAATTTTGCATTGTTTTTTAGGCTAATCATACATGTCCAGGTTATATGCTGTCAGGATGTAAAAATTTATCAAGTTTTGGACATTCATAGGATTTTCTTTATTTTACAGACAGCAAACTTAAGAAAATTGCCATTGGCAGAGTGTTATACAGACAAATTGAATTTCGTTACACTAAATGCTGGTGATATTGTAGAGGTCCTTGCCTGTCAACTGGAAGGGACGGTTCTTGCGAGGAACATGCCGGGAAAAGATAAGGTAGGATGACTGTTGACAATGATGGTTGAAGAGATTTATCAAAACTAAAAATAAAAAAATGGGACAAATCTCTTATTATTTATCAAATGTAATAAAGGTTGGTAACATAACCTAACTTATTTGCTCTTCTTTTTTAATGGTTAAGTATACATTTTCCATGGTACTTATTTATGACACTTAGAAAAATCATAAATATTTAGAATATTTGATTTAATTGGAGAAGGTTTTTGTTTTGTCAAAGACAGTTCAATAGTGATTTATCGCTTTGAATGATTTGCAGCAGTTTTGTTTAGTAAGGAAATATTTTAAGTGATTTTAAACAGATTTCTTTGCTTAGCAAATTTTTATGTGTCACATTTTGAAACTTTACTTCAAGTTATGTTTGCATATTTGTACCGACTAACATTTTGGTAAATTAGATGCCAAGTTCATAATGACTTGCTGAAAAGAGTTTAGATAAAGTACCATTTTCTTTAAGTAATTAAAAAAATGATAGCAAACAAATAGATCTAGGTGTTGATACACTTACTTGGAGAAATATTAAACTAGTAAGTGAACCTATAATGTAAATAACAGAACTATAAATTTGTTAGATGCGTGTGATTAAAATCTGATTAAAATGTTTTGTATCTATTGTACAGGTGTGCTATATCCCACAGGAAGCTCTGGTAAGTTCATTTAACCGTTTACCGCATGAGCATATTGCGAAAAAAGGCTGTTTTCATTGAAAAGCCTCCTGTTACAAGTTCAAACTGCTATTAAACTATAAAAAAATTGCTTCAAAACTGATCAAACTTGGCTCAAATGTTGACAGTGGACCATAGCCTTTGTAACAGCTCAATGTTAAATTTCCTGTTACAATAGCAAGGGGGAACATCTCAAAATTGCCAAAAATCACTATTTTGCGTTGTTTTTCCATCAGAACTGATTTCAGAGTGCTGCAACTTTTCAATGGATTGAGATACTCACTGAGTCAAAGGCTTTTCAGCGTTGGTTACACCTTACCTTAAATTTTCTTGCCGATGAGGAGGGGAGGGGGGGGCTAGTGTCCCAAAAGAGGGGCACATCCCCCCTCTGGCACCCCCTTGATGTACTATTTTTGATAGGGGGTGGTGCAAAAAATGTGATCACTTTTTTAAACAACATTTCTCAAATTTGGGGCCTAAGTAGGGCATTTTTTTCCCTACTTGAAGCCTCAAAAAGCGGAGGGTAGAAAAGCCGTCAAAATACAATATTATTTCCTTTAAATAAATATCAAATCAATACAATTTGTCAACTCATATGGATGTTTCAAATCTTTATTATTAAAAATCATATATTGATACTAAAAAGTTTTACCTTGCCTTGATTATATAAATTATGAGAAGTTAATGCCTCTCTGGTGATTGTCATAATTTTGTTAAAGTTGTCTCCCCTTAATTGGAAAAAAGAATAAGAAAAGGATACCAGTGATAAAACTAATATTTATGCATCTGGTGAAGACATTTCTTAGTTTGTTACAAATAAGATGGTTTGAACAGGATTTGATGAAACAAGATATTTTGATGAAAGCTTGAGGTTTATTGAACAGTTTGTTTCCCATTGCAAATTACTGGAAACATTTTGGTTATGAAGTTAAAAAAATATTTTTTTGACTTGAATCTTATGATGGCATGTAGCTCATTGAACCAGTTTGTAGGAATTCTGTCCTATTACTAACCTGTACCAGTACTGGTGTTGTCATATAGGGAAACATGGTTGTGTTTTCTTTTATGGCTTGAACCAACAGTCCTTGGGTAGAAATGCAAACACCTTAACCAGACCCTAAGGCTTTTCATTTGCGCTTTCACTGCTTGAGCTTTATTAATATAATTACCAAGTATTTACCTGTAATATTTCTAACAAATCTTCTTCAGAAGAAGACTGCTGACTTTTTTTACTTTACATATAAAATTGACACTTTAATGGAAGAAAAATGAGTAAACATTAAATAAAATGTTTTTGTCCAAAATTATTATATTAAAAAAAGAATCAATAAATATTAAATCTCGCAATAATCAGATATTTTATACCAAAGACAGGCAATGTAACCAGTGTTGTAGGCAATTATGTATAACTGTAAGTGGTCTTGTATGCAATTATGTAGCACTGTAAGCGGTCTTGTTACTCTTGTACGCAATTTTGTAGCATTGTTAGTGGTCATGTAGGCAATTATGTAGCACTGTAAGTGGTCTTGTAGGCAATTATGTAGCACTGTTAATGGTCTTGTAGGCAATTATATAGCACTGTTAATAGTCTTGTAGACAATTATGTAGCACTGTAAGTGGTCTTGTTGACACTTATGTAGCACTGTTAGTGGTCTTGTAGTTAATTATGTAGCACTACCAGTGGTGTTGTAGGCAATTATGTAACACTTTAAGTTGTCTTGTAATCAAATGTTTATCACTGTCAGTGGTCTTGTAGGCAAATACATAGCATTGTAAGTGGTCTTGTAGGCAAGTATGTAGCAATTGAAAGTTGTCTTGTAGGCGAGTATGTAGCAATTGTAAGTGGTCTTGTAGGCAAGTATGTAGCAATTGTAAGTGGTCTTGTTGGCGAGTATGTAGCAATTGTAAGTGGTCCTGTAGGCAAGTATGTAGCAATTGAAAGTGGTCTTGTAGGCAAGTATGTAGCAATTGTAAGTGGTCTTGTAGGCAAGTATGTAGCACTGTCAGTGGTCTTGTAGGCAAATACATAGCATTGTAAGTGGTCTTGTAGGCAAGTACATGTCATTGTAAGTGGTCTTGTAGGCAAGTATGTAGCACTGTCAGTGGTCTTGTAGGCAAATACATAGCATTGTAAGTTGTCTTGTAGGCAAGTACGTGTCTTGTAGGCAAGTATGTAGCAATTGTAAGTGGTCTTGTAGGCAAGTATGTAGCAATTTAAATGGTCTTGTTGGCAAGTATGTAGCAATTGTAAGTGGTCTTGTTGGCAAGTATGTAGCAATTGTAAGTGGTCTTGTTGGCAAGTATGTAGCAATTGTAAGTGGTCTTGTAGGCAAGTATGTAGCACTGTCAGTGGTCTTGTAGGCAAGTACATAGCATTGTAAGTGGTCTTGTAGGCAAGTATGTAGCATTGTTAGTGGTCTTGTAGGCAAGTATGTAGCATTGTTAGTGGTCTTGTAGGCAAGTACGTATAATTGTAAGTTGTCTTGTAGGCAAGTACGTGTCTTGTAGGCAAGTAAGTAGCAGTTGTAAGTGGTCTTGTAGGCAAGTATGTAGCAATTGTAAGTGGTCTTGTAGGCAAGTATGTAGCAATTGTAAGTGGTCTTGTAGGCAAGTACATAGCAATTGTAAGTGGTCTTGTAGGCAAGTACATAGCTTTTAATTGCAAGTGGTCTTGTAGGCAAGTATGTAGCAATTGTAAGTGGTCTTGTAGGCAATTAGATAGCACTGTCAGACATCATTATTAAGAAATTAAAAATGACCTTCACCTTAAAATGACCTTGACCCAATTTGATATCTTTTGAAAAAGCAGAGAGGAGAAAATGGCCTCAGTGTTTGAGACGACTCTTGTTGAAAACCTTGTTTTCTGGTTCTGTGGCATTGTTATTAATTAATTTATTTATTAAAACTAAACTAAACTAAGTGTTACCTAACATTTACTGAAGGATGGGGGACAGAAGGGGTTTGTGTGTTGACAGAAATATCCAGAAGTATTTATGTAGTTTGTATCTGATTTAGTGCAGTGAAATATAGAATTAAGTTAAGAACAATACAGTTACTTCCCTTTGATTTTTATCCCTCTTTTTATTATTGCACAGTCACCTCCCTTGATGCTGTTTGAAACATGTTTTTGAATTTCTTGAATAAATGCCAAGTGAAATTCTCATAGGTTATATCATATTGTGAAATTCTTATTAGTTTCTATGGTTTAAAGTACAGTTGTATTCACTTTATTTCACAATTATATTCCTGTGAATAATGATAATAAAGATTTACATTATTATTGTATTGAATACTTGAATTTTATATACATTTAGTCTGAAATTTTTAAAGCCATTTTGTTATATTTACAGGTAAATGGTAAATTTATTTCATTGCATATAACAAAAGGAAAGAAAGATATTCATAAGAAAGCATATTGAATAAAATTGGATTGCCATCAAATTGTTGATTAATATAATTATTATTGATTTTATAAAAAAAGTGGGAAAAATGACATGCATAAGAAAGCCTCTTTAAAATATTTCAGAAAATGTGATTATCAACATATTGGTAATTAATGTTAAACTGCTTTTGTTGGAAAATATAGATAAAGAATAAAAAAAATGATATACAAAGACAGCCTCTTTAAAATAAATAATTTGGAAAATGTTGCAAAAAAAAAAAAAAAAAAAATTAATGCTGTAATATAGGTTAATTACTGTTTGACTGTTTTTTTTAATGGGAAAATAAAAAAGAGAAAGTAAAAAAAGAAAATGATTTACTTAAGATGGTCTCTTTAAAATGTTTTAGAAAATGTTAAAAAAAAAACTGTATGACCATCCTAAAGCATTTTTTTTATAGTAAAGTAAGAGGAAAAGAATAAAAATATACATTTGTACATAACACAGCCTCTTTAAAATGTTTTGGAGAATATTGCCAAAGGTATTTCTGCTCATCTGAAATACACCCACAGTATTATATCTCAAGACAGTAGTTATTTCTGGCAGGGCTTATCAGTAAAAGCTTCACACTCTACAGGTAATGTACCTATACTGTTGCCACGGAAACCCTATTGAGATTTTTATCATGGAGGCAAAATATGTTTCAGGCTAGGTAATACGAAGGCAAAATTCCAAGATAACTTTTAAAACATTTTAACATTTTATAGTGGTGTGTTGTGCTCTTTTTGCTTTAACATTTTGCCTCCCTGTGTGTAATTCTATAATTTGTTGAATTTTTTAATGTGAAAAATATCAAATTATAAAAAGAATTGTATATAGTTTGATATTTTTAAAATATATATTCGTTTTTCCTGGATATTCTTTTCTACGCCATTGTCTGAGGTATGTTGTTATTTTTTGTTTTGTTTTGGTTATTATCTGTTATTCTTAACCAGATTGTCCTAAGAGTAAGTTTGAAATCTTTTATCATTAACAAAAATTGAAATCTTTTATCATTAAATGATTTTCAATAATTTGTTTATAATAATTATTGCTTCATTGTTAAGTCTGATTAAAACTTTGTTCAAGGTCATATTTACTTTTTTAAGATCAGGACAAAGAAGTTTAATATAGCTATGAATATTAAAATAATAAAAGTTATATAAAAGTTATCTTCAGTGATTTTTTTTTGTTTTGATTAAATTCTTTCAAACCTATGTAATTTGCTGGAGGCAAAAATGACTACGGATTTTTAGTCTCTGCCACCAGTATAGTGCCAGGCCAGCCTAGACATCCATTATGTCTGACCAGGTTCAATACATTGTTAGAAGCTCAATTTTTTTTTTTTAAGTGCTTTGATATTTGAAAATCCTGTAAACTTGAACTGGTCTGTTCAATGTTCAAAACTCCAGAGAAAATTTTTCATTCTAAATTCAGCAAGTTTATATTTTAGCAGAATTAAATCTGCCTCTCTGACGGGATAAATATAACATTGTTTTTTTGTTATGCACAGTCTTTCTAAGAAATTATTTTGATCTTTTAAATTTAATGTCAATTTAAATTTCTTTGATAAATCATAAAACCTTTCCTTAAAAATAATAATTACTGTACAAAAAAAGCAAATGGTAAGCGTGTTGGATTAGTAATCTAAGGATTGCTGGTCGCGTGGGTTCAAAACCCATCAGGTGCAAGCAGTTGTTTATTAAGAGCAAGAAATGTTACAGACATTGCTTTGTACTGGTTGGTTCCAGGAACAGATTCAAGAGAGTTTCAATAAGCTTATAGGTTCCAACACAATCAAACTATAATAAATTTGTATAAACTAAACTAAATGGGAGCAGAGGCATAGTGGTCTTCAGGTGTCTGCCACTCAACCCAGGGATCATGGGTTTAAGCCTTACTGGTGTCAAAAATATATTTCCTCATATGACACCAGTACTGGTTTAAGTTACAGGAAACAGACTGGTGAGTGGTCCATATAAGTTGCAAGTTTTCTTCACTGTTAACGTTTAAAAAAAATGTTGAAATTATATATTCATGTGGTTATTTTGAGTTAAAAATATCAAGATTATCGCCATCCTTATAAGTGTACAGTAGATAATGTCATTCACTGTTCGTATACTGATCAAGCAGACCGATGTGCTCTAGTCATGAATAGAATTGTGATGTCATATGACATCATGATTATCTTTTTATGTGACATCATATTTTTTAAGTGGCACAATATTTTACAATAATGTGACTTATGAGCCATTGAATATGATGTGATATTCGCCAGCAGATGGCATATTGACCAAGGCCATTTATTTATTTGTTTGAATTGCCAAAGATTAAAAAAAGTAAAGCCTTAAACCTGTAGTGTAGCTCTACTGTAGAGAAATATTTTCAAAATAACTTCAGATATACCGCAGGTGGTAATAATTTAAATTCAAGGAGAACTACAGTCTTAGTAACAATATACATGTCTTATCTTATATGAATGTATTTGAACCCAGTAAATAAATTCCTATTTCTTGTCTGTATTATTAGCAGCCAAATTGTACTTGTTCCTTGACAAACTCTTATAGACAGCAGGAACTTGTTTGCATTTGAAGTAAACTAATTTCTGTCCCCCCTACCAACTCATGATGGCTGACATTTATTTCGGGTATGTGTTTATTTTTGTAATATTATTGTTTTACAGAGTGCCACTGATGACGTAAGCACGCAGGTATGTGAGATCGCAGCCATCGAAGATAACAGTCAACGTTCTGAACAAGATTTACATCAAAACAAAGGTAATAGATGTGTAAATTCTTACCTAGGTTTTGTTTTTATTAGGGTGGTGTTTTATTCGTAAGTTGCATATTTAATTCATTAGATGCAGACGTCAGTGACTGGTCGCAGGATTTTATAAAGGTAATGTGGTGGTTTTTTTTTTATGTTGCTATGTTGCATTTTCTGGTATTGTTGCTAATGTTGTTGTTGTTGTTTATGAATCATGTTAACTGCCAAATTATGCAGCAACTGAATTCATTGGAAAGAAATGAAAGCTTTTAGCCAATTAATTAATTCATATAATTGATGAATGAATTTTCATGTACATGTATTTTGTTTGTAATCAATAATGCGAATTATCCCAAAGAACTTTTTTGAGTAACAGGGACTTTAAGATACTTGTTTCTGACAAGGTTTTTATGGTTTCAAGTATGGGCCTTTTCCTTTAATACACTTTTTTTTTCCAACTATGTAATTCATTTAAGAATATGAAGCTTACTGGAAATTACCTAGTTTTGAGTCTTTTGTTAGTATCTATCCATAGACATAGACTTGACAGGAACTAACAACAACATTAGGACTAATGTAATAACATGACTTTGGTGTCATTGAACTAACTGTGGTATATATACAATACCAGAATATAAATCTGAATGGTAACTAACATACATATATTGGTTAGCATACCATAATTATATACTTGCTATGTAATGTACTATAATATGGTAAAACTTAAGAATTTCTTAGTTGTGTTTTTTCCCGCTTTCAATTTTTGGAATTGTCCATTATAATTTTAGGGATATAGGGATGTTACTCGGCAAATAATAGATGTTATCTGGATGTCAACAAATGAGCCGCGTCATGACAAAACCAACATAGTGGGTTTGCGACAAGCATGGATCCAGACCAGCCTGCGTATCCGTGCAGTCTGATCAGGATCCATGCTGTTCGCTATCAGTTTCTCTACCTGTAATAGGGTTTGTAAGCGAACAGCATGGATCCTGATCAGACTGCGCGGATGCGCAGGCTGGTCTGGATCCATGTGGTCGCAAACGCATTACGTTGGTTTTGTCATGATGTGGCTCAAATGTTTCCAATCTAATCCCAGGGTACAAAATTAATGAACTTTTAACAGTGCATTGACATTGTGTTTGACAATGGAGTGATGGTTATGTTACGCTTATTATCTCTAGATTTACCAGCATGTTACTGTAAAAGTTTATTAAATTTTGTATCGGAGGATTAGATGGGAAAAACCCAAATCAGACTACTTTCTGAGTATCTATATATATAGAACATTGTCCACCTGAACGAAAAGTTCAGAAGTAAACTGGTGCCATCACAAAATAGGGAAATAATTGTTAATGTAAATGTCTGTTAAACTAAGTTAATCCTTCGGTACAAACAAACTATTACCGTTAAGCTTCACGGTGCATTACCGGTCGCAATAGATTAGTCAACGGTTTGCGCTTATTTTTTAAGTCGTAACTGCAAAAGTTTGTATGTACCCCAAGATTATATCCTGGAAAAACCCAAAAAGTTTTAGTTCTGAAGCTAGTCTATGAGCAGTATGTGTTGTGATATAATGTAGAAGATGTATACAGGGTGTGGCGTAACTATTGTTCTACTTGTTGCTGGTATGTTAATGGCATATAACACATATCTTCATCAATCAGATATAGATACTTTGTAAAATGTGTTACTGCAAAATCATTATTATTCGTGGGGCACTAATTTTTGTGGTTTTCCTGGATAGGTCAATCCATGAATTTAAAATCCAACAAATTTCATTTCATCTACTGTAAATTATTTTGCATCACATTGTTTACCTTTTACCTTTTGGAATAATAAACAGTTCATGAATTTAAGTACCCACCAAAATATGTTCTTTGTAACAAAAACATGAAATTTCATGTCCACGAAATTAAGTGAATTCACAGTAATCAGTTTACCTTAATCAAACAGAATGATAAGTATATTGTAAATTGCAAAGAAAATAATCTCGTCCAAACATTCCTGATTCTTACTTCTTACATACTGTGAATTGACTTAACATTTCGTGAACATAAACATAAAATTTCGTGGTATTGTCAATTTTTCATGGCATCTTAAATTTGTGGATAGTCTGTAATTTAAAAAAAGTAGAATACAAATTATGTAATATTAATAATAATACAGCAAATGAAAAATGAAAAAAAACAACAAAACTTGTGTGTGTTTGGATATGTTCTTAAATTTGTTGATTATGTCCCGTCCATAAAAACCACGAAAATTAGTGCCCCACAAATAATGATTTTGCAGTAGGTTCCTATCTATTGAAATTTTTTGAAAAAAAATGGAAGGTCTGAGCTTCTCAAACCAAGGAAAGGGTTATGAATGAATTTCCCATTTCAATGAAGATTGTAAATATTTAAAAAAAAACAAAAAAAACGCACACACACAAAAACCAAGAACAAAATGTAATAACATTACTTCTGACTTTCTGAAGGTGAAATTTATCTAAATACGCAATAAACATATGATCAAAACATTCGTAGGTATCTGTTAAAGCAGATAGGAATGCCTGCAATATGTGTAAGACATACATCAGCTGGTGGTATGGTAAAGGAATAAAGAGCAATATTAGACATAAATCAGATGGTATGGTATGGTATAGACATAAATAAATCGGAGGTAGACATAAATCGGAATGTTCTTGGAGGAAACTACTGCTTTCTGCCAGTTGCCGATCTTGAAATCTTATCAGTATTGAACTGCTAAATTTTATCAGAAAATCTTTGGCTACAGGGAAAAATAGTGCTGTATTTATTGTGTTAAATAAAACAGGGAGCCTTTTCTGTTCCAATAATATGTACTTCTCTTTATCTTTATCTTTGTAACAAATCAAATAATAATAAAAATGATATACCTTGAACTTGTTATTGAAGAATTTGTTTGTGTCCACATCAGAAAAAAAAGAAGATATGTTTAAACTGTTATAGATAGTGTTCTAAGATCTCACTTTACAGCTCTATGGTTTGTCACATTGTTTTGGCCAATTTTTAACGGGTTGAATTTATACTGATAAAAAAAACAACATTTATTTGTCTGTCACTGCTGATTGAAAGAAATCATGTGCGATTTGTAGTTGGTCACTTGTGGAGAAATGGATAATAACTGGTTAGTTATCCAGTGAAAGGTGGACTGATAGTCAAGATGTGACCCAAAAAAATGTGTTAGGCACCATAAACTAACAAATAAACAAACAAATACATAATATTAATTCACTACATAAAGTTTACATTTACGTTGATGAATGAACTACAGGCTTGCTGTAAGGGGCATCATATGTGAAGGTTTACATACATGTTGCATGTTTTTTACATACATGTAAAAGGAAAATAGTAGTAACCGAAGTATTGCTAAGCCGCAAGCCAAATGGGTTCAAAAAGAATGATTTTCCGCGGATTATTTCTTTTGAAATGCAAATATATACATTTGGTGTTTAGAAATGAACTTATCATTTTTATCCAAGAAATATTTCATATTCACTCTGTCAAGGCAATCCAAAAAACATTTATTTATAATGAGAAAATGAAAGATATAACAATAAGGAATGATTTCATGATAATATTATAATTTCATGAAAGATTGCAAAAACATATGTTAATACTTACACTTTTAAGCAGCAAGCCCCCAGATGATGAGTTGAATAAATCTTTAAGAAATCAAAGTGAAAGGTGATTTTTATTTGGCAACAGTTACTTAATCATTACAGAACAATTATTATTTTTAAGTTTTCAAAAAAGAAAACTTGAGGTGTGCGGCTTTAAGATTTCAAATTTTTATGGCAGTCTGGCAATATGTCTTACTATTGTATAACATTAATTCTCCACTGATGATTTGAGCAATTAATGTGAGTCACTATGTGGAGAAGTTGTCAGTTACTTGAAGAAATTTAAGGCTCTCTAACTTGGGTAACAAATTCAAGAACACATACATGATTATTTTTGCCACCAGTATTAAGTCAGCATTAAACCAGACTCTTACCGTAATGGCTTTTCAAATTTTAACAATTACCCTGCTGACCCAAACCGATTCTACCCATACCATCAATATTTACAAAGATCATAGTCTGCACTGTTTAGTATTCAGTCAAGTATACTTACATTTTAACATGCCATAATTATGTCCCGGACGTCCGATTCTGTATTCAGTCAGTATATTTACATAGTCATGACATAATGTCCCAGATGTCTGGTTCCTTATTCAGTCAGAATATTTACATATATGCCATAATGTCCCGGATGTCCGGTTCCTTATTCAGTCAGTATATTTACATACATGCCATAATGTCACGGATGTCTGGTTCCATATTCAGTCAGTATATTTACATATATGCTATAATGTCCGGATGTCTGGTTCCATATTCAGTCAGTATATTTACATATATGCCATAATGTCCCGGATGTCTGGTTCCATATTCAGTCAGTATATTTACATATATGCCATAATGTCCCAGATGTCTGGTTCCTTATTCAGTCAGTATATTTACATATATGCTATAATGTCCCGGATGTCCAGTTTCATATTCAGTCAGTATATTCACATACATGCCATAATGTCCCGGATGTCTGGTTCCATATTCAGTCAGTATATTCACATATATGTTATAATGTCCCGGATGTCTGGTTCCATATTCAGTCAGTATATTCACATATATGCCATAATGTCCCAGATGTCTGGTTCCATATTCAGTCAGTATATTTACATATATGCCATAATATCCCGGATGTCTGGTTCCTTATTCAATCAGTATATTTACATATATGTTATAATGTCCCAGATGTCAGGTTCCATATTTAGTCAGTATATTTATATATATGCCATAATGTCCCAAATGTCTGGTTCCTTATTCGATCAGTATACTTACATATATGTTATAATGTCCCGGATGTCAGGTTCCATATTCAGTCAGTATATTTACATATATGCCATAATGTCCCAGATGTCTGATTCAGTCAGTATATTTACATATATGCCATAATGTCCCGGATGTCTGATTCAGTCAGTATATTTACATACATGCTATAACATCCCAGAATGTCGCGGAGGTGTCCCTGAGATAATTTCTGTCCCGTTAAAAATCTGAATTAATCAATTTCGCAGGTTGAAATAATACATAGAAAGTATCTCAGAAAGTAACCTAGAAATATAGACGTGTATGATACATATATTGAAATGTTTCCTGTCTGTTTTTGTCCAGACAGGTCCATTTAAGATGATAAGCTTGTTATGAGTTTTAAGGCTTGTTATATCTACATTGTACAGTTCCAAATTCAGGTCAGAACATGTCCATCACCATAGTTACAAACCCAGCATTGTAACATGGAATTGATCCGCAAGCTTACATTTAAATCAAAGTTTGAATAAATTGATGAAAACTCAAATTGATTGATTATTATTGTTATTATAATTGTTGTTACTATTAAAATTGGGGTCTCTGTGGCCGAGTGGTTACGGTAGCACACTTCAAATTTCTAACCTTTCACCTCTGTTGGTTCGAATCCCAGCAGGGAATTTTTATTCTTTCATATGAGTAAGCTATCAAGCTAGTTTACAAAACATAGGTTGTTCTTCAGAGATGCCTCTTCTTTTAAGACAGGAGCGGGTCCCTGATTTGAACAACTGTTGTTCCATATTTCAGTTGAATAGGTTACTGACTTCATCCCCCAGTAAAGCTGGAAAGAAACGATATATCCTTCACTGTGTTTGGGGCAACATAAAAAAAACCCAACCATAACAGTGTTGATCCAACAAACAAACATATTATGATTATTTTTATTGTTATGATTATTATTATTGTTACTTTCATCGGAAATTATAAAAATTAGACAAAACACACCTTACAGAAGAAAGTCTGAACAAACATCTTATGAGAATAATTGTGGTATACATTATATTGAAGAAGTGGTATTCATAAAATACCTTCCTGAGATTGATTTTTGGCACCATTTCCGAATTTTCTGAACATTATGTAGACTTAGTCATTCAAAACCACACATCTGATTTCATATGATCAGAAGATAGAATGATATGGTTTCTGATGCGAAGATTGTTTTATCATTACAAATATTTTATCTATCAGGAGAAAAAGATTTTTGTTTTGATTATGTTAAATATTATTTGGCAAACACATTTGATTTCATTGTTTTGGTACACTTGAATTTAACCAAAAAAATATACATGTATTTTGAACACATACAAAAAAATTCAAACTGATTAGTTTTCTGAGAAAAACTGAACTGTTCTGACTTGTTTCTAATAAAAAGTAACAGGTAATTTAATTATTAACATATGAGTAAATCTTAGAAGTTCTTGTTAAGAAATGAACACATTACAGGAGGTTACCAAACATTTCATGTTCCCTGTTGTTATGTCTTTTGTAACTTGCTTTTAAATGTCAACGGAACGAAATTTTGTTATGAAATTGAGACTGTTTCATGAGTCGAAATCCCGATGTGTTGAAGTTTTTAACTAAGTCCTTTCATCTTCAACTCAACGAGGTTCTACTTTTCCAAGATAAAATTACTGAAATACTTAGTTTGAAACAACACGGAATGTCTTCCCAACAAAAAATATATGCTGAAGGCTGCTTTAAGAAATGAACACATTTCGGGAAGTCGCCAAACATTTTGTTAATGGTGTTGATTATATAAAAACAGAATGTATTATGATCACATGACTTAAGGTACGGATAATCATTTAATATTATTAAATGCTAAAATCTTACTTTAAAATATTTTTTCTTTTCAGAAGAGGCAAAGATGCCGGAGAGACGTAAAATGAAGTCGCCCAGTCCGAAGATGACTAGTACGCCAAAGATGAAACGTAAAGAAGTCGACACAGAATCTACAGAAGAACTTCAAAAGAGACTGGGCTACGGTGATAACCCAACACAAAAGAAAGGTATGATTCAAAAAAATAAATTAGGTATATGGACAGTCTTATCTCCATGGCCAAGGCCCTCAAGAATTTTGGTGGTCAAAGAAAAATATTGGTTATTTAAGGTCAGTCCTATATCCATGGCCAGGGCCTTCAAGAATTTTGGTGGTCCAAAAGAAAAATATTGGTTATTTAAGGTCAGTCTTATATCCATGACCAGGGCCTCAAGAATTTGGTGGGTCAAAGAAAAAAAATTTGGTTATTTAAGGTCAGTCCTATATCCATGGCCAGGGGCCTTCATGATTTTGGTGGTCAAAGAAAAATATTGGTTATTTAAGGTCAGTCCCTATATCCATGGCCAGGGCCTTCATGAATTTTGGTGGTCAAAAGAAAAATATTGGTTATTTAAGGTCAGTCCTATATCCATGGCCAGGGGCCTTCAAGAATTTGGTGGTCAAAGAAAAATATTGGTTATTTAAGGTCAGTCCTATATCCATGACCAGGGCCCTCAAGAATTTTGGTGGTCAAAGAAAAATATTGGTTATTTAAGGTCAGTCCTATATCCATGACCCAGGGCCTTCAAGAATTTTGGTGGTCAAAGAAAAATATTGGTTATTTAAGGTCAGTCCCTATATCCATGGCCAGGGGCCTTCAAGAATTTGGTGGTCAAAGAAAAAATATTGGTTATTTTAAGGTCAGTCCTATATCCATGACCAGGGCCCTCAAGAATTTTGGTGGTCAAAGAAAAATATTGGTTATTTAAGGTCAGTCTTATATCCATGACCAGGCCCTCAAGAATTTTGGTGGTCAAAGAAAAATATTGGTTGTTTAAGGTCAGTCCTATATCCATGACCAGGGCCTTCATGAATTTTTGTGTTCAAAGAAAAATATTGGTTATTTAAGGTCAGTCCTATATCCATGGCCAGGGCCTTCAAGAATTTTGGTGGTCAAAGAAAAATATTGGTTATTTAAGGTCAGTCCTATATCCATGGCCAGGGCCTTCATGAATTTTGGTGGTCAAAGAAAATATTGGTTATTTAAGGTCAGTCCCCTATAAACCCATGGCCAGGGCCTTCAAGAATTTTTTTGGTGGTCAAAGAAAATATTGGTTATTAAAAGGTCAGTCCTATATCTATGACCAGGGCCTTCATGAATTTTGGTGTTCAAAGAATTATATTGGTTATTTAAGGTCAGTCCCTATACCCATGGCCAGGGCCTTCAAGAATTTTGGTGGTCAAAGAAAAAATATTGGTTGTTAAGGTCCAGTCCTATATTCCATGACCAGGGCCTTCATGAAATTTTTGTGTTCAAAGAATTTATATGGTTATTTAAGGTCAGTCCTATATCCATGGCCAGGGCCTTCAAAGAATTTTGGTGGTCAAAGAAAAAATATTGGTTGTTTAAGGTCAGTCCTATATCCATGGCCAGGGCCTTCATGAATTTTGCTTGTTCAAAAAAACCTTAGTGCAATAACTGATTAACTCCTATTGAATTTAGAAGGATTTAACCTGTTACTGCACGAAGGTGACAAAAGGGACCAACTTTACTAGACCAGTTGTGGGGAATGCAGCTTCCAATATATAGTTTTGTATATTCTTTTATTCAAGTAAGACATATTCAGTAAGAATTTCATAGATGTTAATAAATTTCTGTGATAAAAACATTTTACTCAAATATGAACATAGTACAATCATGTATATCTTTAACTATATTATGTCTTTGTGATTTTTTTTTTTATTCAGAATTTTCGACAAAAGATTTCGGTTGAGTTCACAGAATACAATGATGGAACAACAAGACCGATGTTCAAAAAGAGGCTGAAGAGTGTGACAGGGAAAAGTAAGTATGATGTGACAATTTATGTGACAATTAATGTAAACATGGATGTGACCAGGATATTAACCTAATATCCTAAAATTGAAAACTAAAATCTATTCAGTCATATCTTTTTTCCTACCTATTATTTATATTTATTCAGTACATATTTTTTTCACCTCTGCATATACTTTTTCACTTTGGTATATATTTCTTTGCCGCAGTATATACTTTTTTTGCCTCAGTATTATACTTTTTGCCTCCATATCAACCCTATCCAAATAATGCAACTTAAGTTTCAAAGTGTAAATATCTTACCTAAGTTTAATATATATGATTGCTCATAGAAGGAGTAGATTATTTCAATACTTCTAGGCGCAAACAACAATATGGCAGAAAAACATTTTCATGTTGAGTTTCATGCATATTGCTATGTAATTCATGATTACAAAACAAACATGCAAGTTTGTCATTATCTGGGTTATATATAGACTTTACCTATACATAAAATGCTTGAAGAAGCATCTGTCAAAATACAATATTGTATGATATAACACTTCCATGCATCAGATGATGTAATTATTACTTTTGACAAGCAAAAAACAGTATTGTAAACATCTGCAATTTATGCATTTACAGCAAAAAAATATTAGAAATAAAAAAAAATCAGACACAAACAATGGAACATAAGAATAAGTCGTAGGTAAATAATGGGAGCATACATTAGAGTAATTGATGTGTATTTGTCGTCATTGTCGGCTTGCCAAACTATTATATCCTTAATTCATACAGCAGGCAATAAGTTTTCCCGCCTTCCCCTCTAATAAGCGCCCCCCGCCCCACAACCTACTAATGATTTTTAATCCATAATGCAAGAGCATCCCAAAAAAAATCCAAATACTTATTTTTTTATTTAAAAAAATAAAAAAATAAAAAAAAATAAAAATTAACGAAGCTCCAGTAATGATAAATCATAAAAAAATGCAAGGTCCCCAAGAGGCGTTAAATAGAAAACATACCGATAAATATGTATAGTATGATAATATAGGTTAATGCATTTATCAAAGTTTTGTTATGAAACCCATCATTACACATATGTTACTACAAGGAAAAACAAGATGTCCCACAATTGAGTCACCCCTCGTAAGTTTTCTCCTTTTCCTTGAAATAGTTTTCTTTCAAACTGTCTCTTTTTTATCTGTTCAACTTTCTATTTTCAAATACATTTTTAAAGCCCATACTTTCAAAATTCAAATTTCTAAAAATTGTGATAACTATAAAAGAAATAATGTTTCTTTAAGAAAGTTTCCCTTTTGCAAAATTTTTTCTATGCCAAAAATTTTTTGCCCCTTAAAATTTTTTTTCCCTTAAAAAAAAAAAATTTCCCAAAAGGGGGGGGCCGAAATTTTTTCAAAATTTTTGGGGAAAAAAAAATTTATAAAAGCTTGGGAAGAACTGCCCCTAAATTTAAATGTTCCAAAAGGGGCCTAGGTTAGTGTTTCCCCTTTTTATGGGGGGTTAAAATAAGTTTTAAAATGCAAAATTGAATTTTCCTTTTAGGGTTTTAAAAGGAAAAAAAGTTTGAAGCGTGTTAGAATTTTAAAAAAATTTAAAAAAAAGGTTAAGGGACAACTGACTATTTAATTTTATGTTTCGAACAAGACCGGAAGAGATGGCAACAAGCTTTTAAATGTAACAAGTTTCGGGCTCCCCCTACCTAAGATACGTGTTTTTGGCTGAAAAAACAACCGGCCCCTTTCAAAAGCTAGCGATGGGCTGTAAAAGTGATTGTTGAACCGAGGGAACAAATATTCTGGTGTTTCCGCAGGCGAAGGAAGAGGATGTTGGGATATACACAGCAAGGGCCATGAACGTCAACGGATCGATTATGTGCTCAGCCGAGTTCTCGTTGTCGGACGGTAGGTGTATATGATATTTAGATTTAGTTTTATCACATTTAATTGCTTGTTTTCCATTCTATACAAAAACAGATACAATATCACATGCAAACATAAGACAAAATGGTAATGAATAAATTTTAAGTTTTTACATGGATGCTGAAGTTATTCATAAAAAGCAAAAGGGTCGGACTACAAGTAGATTTAGATCAATTCTTTCAACCATAAAATCTTTTTGATTTATCTACTTTTCATTAGGGTGATTTTTAAATTTTTAAAGGGTTTTTTTCAATTTTTTATTTAAAAAAATTTTATAAAATCACTTAATAAAAGTCATTTTAAGGTAAAAATCAAAAATCGTCTTTTTTTGGTTTTTTTGAAATGTAATACCCTGTGTTAGGTATGTCTTAATAAAATTTTTCAAGTACAGTAAGTAAAAAGGGATTTTGTTTTTAAATTTTTTTCAAAAAGCTTTTTTAAAGGGCCCCATTTTGCATCAAAAATTCCCTATTCTTTTTTTAAATTTTCCCTTTAAAAAAGTTTAAAACCCTGTTTTTTTAAAGGGGTTCATGATTGATTTTTAAAGGGATAAATTTGGGGGTTATTTTAGGGAAAAAACCTTTTTTTCCAAAAAACCCAAGGTTTTTTAAACCTTTTAATTTGGGGAATTTTTAAAAAGATCTAGTTTGGTCCTCTACCAAAGGATTGTTTCAAAATATATCCCCCATGTTGGTTTGTTTTTGGGTTTTAACGTCACATCGACACAGTATAGGTCATATCGCGACGTTCCAGCTTTACTGGTGGAGGAAGACCTCAGGTGCCCCTCCGTGCATTATTTCAGGCACGAACGGATGCCCCCATGATGAAAAGGTCTTACATTTGAAGAAAGTAGCTTTGAACATGCACTTATTTGTCATAAAGGTAGCAAAATGTAAACAAAAAATTTAGAATTTGACTTCCAAAACAAAATACTTACCGCTATAATATTTACCAATTGGCCAACAGAGCGGAAAAAAAAAAAAAAAACAAAAAACAAAGTTCAACAATGTGGCAAATGGAGTAAAATTTTTGGAAGCTGTATAAATTAAAGATACTAACAAAAAAAAAGGTCTGAGAAATAAAAAATTTTGGCATTTCTGAGGCATAATGGGCCTTTAAACCAATTTTTTTTTATGTATAGTAAAACAAACATCACCTTGTTTTTTTATAGTCAGGGCGTTACCTGCCCCAGCAAGCTACCGAACAGCCCTATTGGATATGGACTTTACAACACCAGCCTACTTCTTTCAGATTGGGTCAAGCTGCGAGGTTGCCGAGGGAAGACTGGCTAGATTTGACTGCAGGGTCGTAGCTTATCCAAAACCGGAAATTGTTTGGTATGTTGAGTCGTCAATTGTTTGTTAGCCTAACTATTTATTATAAGTTAAGGAAGAGCTAATTGTACTCGCCAAGACATTGGCGTCTTACTTTAGTTAACTTTTTGCTTGCAAGTTGGTATCTCCAAAATTACTTAAGGGAATGGATCACTCATTAAACCCCATATTTTAAAAACTTGGATTTTGACAGAATTATGGCTCTTTTTGAATTTAGAAAACTGTACACTATTCAGCTCTTGTTTTACTATCAAGGACTGAAAATAGTCAAGCACCCTGTCCCACAGAACTCTTTTAAATTATTGATAAAGAATTATATCTTAAAATGGTTTATAAAATTTTCCCCTCCCCATGAAGAAAGGGGAGTACTATTGTTTTTTTGAAATCCGGTCCACACTTGGGTTTTATTTTTTTGCCTTTTTGGATTTTCAAAACTGCTTAAGGGATTAGGTTGAAACTTCAGACCCATGAACTCTATAATTATCTTACATGATATGCACAGGTTCCATAACCCTAAGTTACCTTATTAAAGAGCATTCTGTCTTACGGACAGCTTTTGTTGATAAGTAAATAACCATATGTTGCACTTGATTTTATTGTATGATCAATATGTACCAGATGATTACAGAAAAATTACAGAATATTATTAAACAAGAAGCATGAATGTTTTTTCACTTTAAATATACAAAATAAATTCTTCTTTTTTTTCTTAGAAGAAAATGAACAGAGTTAAAAATGAAATTATGTATTTCCCACCTTTTCATATAAGTGATAAAAAACAATCTAACCTTTTCATGAAAGTGATTTAAAAAAAAAAATCAAATAAACCAAAGTTTAGAATTTGATGGGCTAATTTGATAGGCTGAAAATGGGTTTAATGGAGAGCACTATGAATGAAATTTGTGTGATATTGTCGTAAAGGAAGTCTGAATTTTTCTTGTTACCATGGTTTCAGGATGAGAGATGGAAAGGTCGTAGAAACCGAGCAACGCTACAAACTGCTTAACTTTAACAACGAGATTTATTCCCTGCTTATACAAGATGTACGCATTGAGGATACAGGTCGCTATACATGTTGGGCCAGGAACAAATTTGGCGAGGCCATGACCGAGGCTTATTTAAATGTCATAGGTACATTGTTTAATTTAAGTACATTCATACTTGTTTGTTAATTATTGTTTCAATTTTGTAATAGTGAACTAGAAAATGAGAGCGGTGACCCCAAATTTTTATAGATGGTCTGCTGAGATAGGACCCTAGCCTGGGATTCAGGCGTTGATATTTTTGTGTATTCATAACATATTTTTTGCTTATTCATAACATACAAGCTATTTTGTATTCGTTTGTGTTTTTGATAGTATCAATTTGGAGAACAGTAGCACATAAAATAATTGACAGACTGGAACCCAGGCTAATATGACCCTAAAAACTGTAAAAAAACAGAAAAACAAATAAACATTTGAGGGCACAAGTTAATTCACTTATAATGACATTCTTCTTTTTTTCCTGATAGGTATATAAGAATATCTTTTAAATTGTATTTGTTAAATTATATAAATACAGGCATATATCATATCAATTATTTGTTAAGTTTCATTCAACAATTTTTCTTTCATTTTCAAAATGTTGCTTTGCACATTTTTTATCATTTATTTACGCTTTAACAGAGCAAGAGCCTGATATTAGCACCACGAATCGAAGTCTTTCTCACCCGATTTTTCCAAAAACAGAGGGCCTGCAAACAGGAGACTTAA